GTTGGCTCATATTGTCAAGAAACTCACTCGCTAATTGCTCAAACGGCACCATGTCTGCCTCTGAAAAGGTATGGGTTCGGGTGAAATCCAAAGGCCTGTCACCATCTTCAAACTGAGGCTGGCAAAGAGAGCGTGCTGCCGGAGCAGCCTGGCGACCAGCTGCCGAAGTGGGAGCCGAATCCTTGAGTACATTGGACCAGGTGCGATTCCACTTTGAAAGTTCCACCTGCAATTCCTGGAGCAACGTCTTGTCGGTGTCCAGGCCTGCTTTGAATGCGTCTTGGACAACACGGGGCAGCCTTGGTCAGTCCACACCAACATGTAGCCTCAACGCAACAAACTAACCTCCTGCAACTTACGCCTAAAAGGAAAAATATATACTAATGAAAACTTAGCGTCGCAAGACTTCCCTGATCCAAGGACAGGCTTTCCAAGGTGGGAGTGGGCTCGCCGAAGGTTCCCCTTTCCCGCTTAGCTGGGCCGGCTTCAGAGCAAGAGTCCCACCACTCTCGAAGCATCATTCCAGACATGGCCTGTGGCAACTTGACACCCAGCTGCTCCCGCACAGGCGTATCGGGCTCATCCATGATGACCCCAACAAAGTACCAATCCGTGCAATGAGATGAGCCTGTGAGAATGCTCTTCTGCTTCTTCCACAAGCACTGACCCCACTCATTGAACCTGACAAAATCAAATCACAACCCTGAAAGGGCGCATGCCCAAGGCGAGTTGATTGCTGAAGCGGCCAGAGCCGCTGACTGAGAAAAGGTGCGCAAAAGACGCGCCTTGATGTCAGCATGTCCACAATCATGACTTTTGGTGCAGTGATGCCATCGACCACAGCCTCGATAATCCTGCCACACGCTTCAATTCCTTTCTGCTGCGCCCGGAGTGGAGGGCTGAGCGGATGCTCATCGACCTTCTGCAGATCGCACACTCTGGCCCTGTCAACAGGCCCAATGCTTCCACGGCAAGCTTTGCTTTTGGCCCAGCAAGAAGTGCTGCTGTGAATCGAAGACACGCGCAACCAACCTTACCAGGGAAGAAGAAACCGCGCGCATTTGGACCGCACTGCACTGGGTGGAAAGGATGAAACACTCCTGAGAAAAGCGTTCAATTGGAACTAGGAGCAGGGTTGGCTCAAACGGCGCTTGTCAGAGCCGTGGGCAGCTTCAGAGAAGCAAACCATGGTCTCGAATATCTCAAAGCCCCTTAGCCAAAGGCAAAAAATCCACAACCATCTAGAGGTCGAAGGAGAGCAAAAAGAAATTGAAGGAGGTCTAAAAAGGCTACTATCTAAGATCTGACTGGCTACCCGGCAAGCAACTTGTCCTCCACATGCCTCCTTTTCTTGATGATCGCAGTCATGGTAACACCGCTGTGGACGACTGGAGCCATCACAAGCAGCCCAGCATTCTGGTTCGAGCTGCAGACAGAACGAGCCATGTCCAGCGGTTCATCAACCCAGGCAGTCCCTAACGAAAACCAAACTTTTTGAACATGCGCAAATTAAATCTGACATCTCACAATATGTCAGAGCATGCACTGATACATTCAAGGCAAGGGTCTAGTAGGCCAAGTCGTCAGGTCAAGCAACAACAACATTGCCCTTGGCAAGGTGGGAAGGAAAGCAACTTGCCTTTTGAATCGTCGTCTAGATGGGAAGAAGAAGCAACAAGTTAAACTAAAGTCCCAGCGTCGGCTGGTTCTGCGGGTCCTTCACTGACGCATTGGCGAACCCCAAAATATTTGTTTGGCATCCACCGAAGCCATCCGCAGGGCTCAGCATCAAGTGTTTCTTGGCACAAAAGGCGTTGACCTTCTCCACACCCTTCGCATAGCGGTCAGCCAAATACTTTACATCTAGATGGCCTTGTCGGTTGCCCCAGTCGAGCTTGCCACGCGCCCAATCCTCCATCTTGGCCATCTCCAATCGAATCTTCTGAACAGCCTGCTTGTTAGTCACGGTTTGCATCTCGTCCTTAAGCCTGGCAATCGAAAACTCAACGCCCAACCCAGTCTAGGACTGACTTTAAAACCTGTTGCTCTAACCCATGAACTTCTCTTGCATACGACGCTCTTTCAACACGCATGTGGCCTCTGGGCTTCTGCCTCGTGGGTTTCATCAACCTGGGCACCACATTTGAGGACACTTGCGCAAAACACACATTCATGCCAGCCTGGCCTTCCGCTTGAACTTGAAGATCACACTTCTGAAGCTGCACAGTTTGTCTAGCTGGATTGGCGGCACAGTGGATTCTAGCATCCCATCAAGCTCCGAATCCATATGCTTTGCCATGAACCTGCAGCGAAAGATAGACACCTCTCAAACTGGACCGCTAGCGCCTCAACTTTAGGCGTTCAAACGATATGACGACAGGGCACGCTTTCTTTAGGTTCAATTCTTCGTCAGCATGAACATCATGCGAGACTACATTGGCCAGGGCATCAACTGCTGCTAGATAAAGCGCACATCTCCTTTGAAGCACTTCCTCGGGCCGGCGACCGAACTAGTAAGCGATGTAAGAATGACGTCCTTTACTCCCAACACATGAGTTAGGGTTGGCTGAGGTTCCAAGTCTTTTCCAGACCAAGGTTTTCTGAGTTTGGGCGGAAGGCATTCAAAGTCTGCAGTCATACGATCGACCATCAAGTGTGTCACTGCAGAGGAATTCTGCAAATGTGCCTCCCACGGCTGCAGCTGGGCGCTTGTTGCCCCGTTACGTGTGAGGTTCAAAGCGCCGGAAGCCAAAGCTTCGTGGTGAACGAAGCGCGCTTGCGAATGCTTCCTGGAATGCTTTTCACATTCAATCATGTCATTGTGTTTCTGCGCCCTAGAGCTTCAATCGCGCTTGTTACTGAACAAAGTGTGTTTGATGTTCCACAAGCATTGTCTCCAAGCGGCTGGACAAGGACCATCAGGCGGTTCACCAGGTTGGGATCCATATGGGTTAACATAGCCCAAGCTGCGTCAGCCTCGTTTTTCCCTATGGCAAAGGCTGCCTGAAAGGTTCCAACATCTCTCCACACCTGCCAACAGCAAAATGCAATCCATACTTCACGCCAATTCTACAGGTAACCCAGCCTCTTCAAAATGAGCTGCAGCATCCCTCAGCAACTTCAGTTGCCACAACAAATTGAAGGCGTTGGGTTTCTTCCTGGTTGATGCCGAGGTCATAGTGATGCCTGCCCAGAGCAGAAACATGGGGAGACAATGGGCTCGAGTCGAACAAGCCTCTGTTATGGGCACACAGCGCTGCCAAAGCTCCAGCACCGCCATCGCAACTCTGGACTGCTCCATGGATTTGCGCGAAGGTCCTAGAAGCTTTACTGTAAATTAGGTCTGAAAAGAACGGCAATGTTCCAGGGAGAAACATCGCACTAAGGCCAGCTCTGCTTTACCTCATTCGGCAAGGCCTGCGCAAACTTTCCCCATGCATGCTGGCTTAACACTACGAGCAACTTGTCAACCGAAGAGCTTTAGCGTGTGAACCTCTGGCCTGCAAATAGTCCTCGCACTCGGCAGCGCAAGTCAAGATGCAGCTCATGGCAAAGCAGCGTGTCCATCCCTTGACGATAAGAATCCCCATGGGTGGGATCCAATTTGATGCCTCCGGTGAGCCGCTGATTTCAGCAGCTTTGAAGGACGGTCGGCGAGAGCACATCCCATCAATTGGGCTGCAGATCGAAATCTTCTCAACCCCCAAGTTGGGGTCTGTCAGAAACCTCAAAAGAAGACAAAACCAATGAGTCGCATTGACCAGCGCCAACGCTTGCGCGAGCACACTCTACCTAAGCAAAGGGCCCTTGTGAAGAGATCAACTCCAGGAGCAAGGATAAAGTGTCCTTGTACCATCCAAAGTGAAAGCGAAACAAATTGGGGCATGATTCTTGGCTATTGAGGAGCTGGCAGGATCTGCGTATCCTTTGAAACCATAATCTTGGCGATGGCTCAACATCCAAGGCCTCAAGGCCACGCCATGGCCACCCCTTTGCAAATCTGCCTCGCCTGCATACTTCCTGAGTGATGACAACAGTGGAGCGGCAGTCATATGTTCGATTGGGACGTGAAAAATGTACTTACGCGCCAGCATCAAGTCTGTACATGAAATTCACAAGTATTGGAAGGCCAAGGAACACGCCATCAAGTGGTGGGAATGTTTCTTCTACCCACGCCACGTGCTTCTTTAACACTTCCTGACACAAGAATTTTGCGCGCGCAGAACCCGCACTGCTCACCACCCTTGACAAGTTTGCCATTCGAAAACGACAAGCACGGTCAAAGTCGGTTTACAACAAAAGAGCACATACATGAAGCTGAGATTTGATCAAGCATACTTCTAAAAGGCTAAGAGAACTTGGAATCTAATCAATGGTTAAGGGGGTTAGGGTTCAGGTGTAAACCTATTTGTTCTTGAAGATACAATTCAAGCACTGTTATATAAATAGCAAATATATGATGGAACTTTTGATTTTCTTGAAGGTTTTTAAAATATAAACTAGCGCTACAGTTTAGGGTTTAGGGCTTAGGGTTTAGGACGCTGGGTGGGAACAGATTTTGTGTTGGATCCCACTGGGATCCAACACAAATTGCTGAGTTTAACGATCGTTATTTTTTAAGTCTATAAAAGGAACAAAACTCTCGCCAAATTTTTGCCATGAGTTTAGGGTTTAGGGTTGGTTGTTGTGTTGGATCTCAGTGGGGCTCAACACAAACATCATCCTTGGATTTGTTGTTTAAGTATGCAACAACAACTAACTGTCACGATATTTTGTACAAGCCGGAATGACTGACATTACACACGTTTTCATCATTCGCATGTCTCGCCTCATCTAAGAATTTCTCATCCAGATAAGTGTGGAGGTTGCCATGGGACTCCACCCTGTCCTGCCTTGGACACTTGACACACAAAAGCTCCAAGCAGCGCGCAATCTTCACAACATGAACTGAATCAGAAAACCTAGGGCCATTGCATCCATTTGTTCAGGATTTTCACAGCCTCCTGGCTCTCGTACAGCACAGACTTCACAGCAAAGTCTTCAATGCTCGACTGCTTGGAGATTGAAGTGGACTTATCGCCCAGTGACTTCCGCTTGCCGCCCATCCCAACGAAATCCGAAAAAAAGCTCAGTTGCGAATGAAAGCCAAAAACTTCAGGGCTATCAACCTGAGCGGCTTCAAGCCGCTGAGACATCTCAATCAAGGCCTAGACACCCCACCGCAGCCAACGCCACAAACAAATTTGTGTTGGCTGGTCCACCCAAACTCCATTCGGGTAGCTACACAAAAAGAAACGTTCCCAAGAAGTCTTGTTTTTGAAAATGAGTTTGAGCTGGATCCCATCCATGGACAACACAAACTTGTGGTGAGTTGCGATTGATTTTGTGAAACCTTGAGCCCTCACAAAACCATGCCTTGTTCAACCGTCGGGTTTTGTGTTGGACCCCAGTAGGGACCAACACAAAATCCTGGGCACTTTTGGGCTGCAGAAGGGGGACAATGAATATCAACAGAAGCCAAAAAATGGTAGGAACAGGTCATGGGGTTTTGAGTTCGCCCGCACTAGGTGTGAACACAAAGTACTTGCCTGCAGACTGCTTGGAGTTTGTGTAGATTTGCTACTTCACAAGAACACTGTTTGATTCGAGCTTTGTACCAAGAGAGCTGTTCATGAATCAAGAAGGAAGGCGCCAAACATTAGTAATGATGAAGTGATATGCCAATGAACTGTCCAAAGGAAAAGGAACTGACTGTCCGAAAGCGATGATCACGCGCGTTGACACATTTTAGCTTCAAGCCCATAGCATTAGGTGGTTTGCTGGCTCTCTAACACTATTGCTTTTTAGCAACCTTCTTCACTGACTTCTTGTCGCTCTTACCACTGGGCTTCCTGCCATGCTTCAGCATGCCATCGAGCTCCGCACGATTGGCAGTTTGCAAATCACGCAAAGTTGCGCCGCTGTAGGATTTCTTCCATTCAGTGTCGCCATAACGGATCTTCAGCTGGTCAATCTCCACCTTAAAAACCAGGAAATGCAACAAATAAGCTTTCACTGTGTTTTTGAAAACCACATGTACTCAATTTCAAAGGGTCTTGGACACAGGTGCCAAGAAACGTTTGTCAAGACTCCAGCGTTCACCACTTGCTTTGGGATCATCTTCTTGAAGGCTGTCAGCTTGGTCCCGGCTTTCACCCTGGGCCAGGAAAATACATCACCCAGGCTCAAAAGTTCTGTCACTGTACCAAACTCTCCAGCCCATCAGGACGAGAAAGGAGATTGATTGAGGTCGCTATTGTAGTGGGTTTGCCCCAATTCTTTTGATGGTTTCCAAGTAGGCGTCAACCTATAGGTCCACTAAATCCCAGAATGTCTAAGCGGCTTTAGATTTGGGTTTCCATTTTGGGCCCGTTTTTTCGGCGCAAAAAGTTCTGTAATGCCTTTAAATGTTGGTTGAAAAAAGGGTCTTGAACACAATGGCCCCAAAACGCATGCCATAACTTAGTGTTGGAATGAAAATCTGTTGGGCTAAGGCCTATTGGAAGAATTCTAGCACAACCTTATTAATTGGCTCGAGTGGCTGCCATGCCTGTGTGATCAAGAACCCACTCTCCATCTTCAAGGTCACACGGATCTTGCCCTGAGTAGCTGCAACAAGTTCAAACGACACGGTCTCCACGTTCACCGGTGTGCACAGCAGCCGGCCCGCGGCTTTGGCAGCAGAACCTTAGAACGGTAGCTCGCTTCAATCAAAAACACTATCGACTTGCGCCTGGAGCCACGAAAAAAGGATTGAACTCAAAAGCTTGGACTCTATAAGTTGCAATTGGGGGTTCAATGAGAAACACCATAGCCATCTATAACACTGGGAGCTTCTGCCAAAAGATTCACTGCAGGCAAAGCAACGTTGAATCAGCAGTCCCCTCCGCTGCTCATGTGATACGTGAGCCACCTTTGTATACTTGACGGAACAGTAACCTCCCCGGGACACATAGAACTCATCTGGCGGATTGTTCTCATCCTCATGCAAGCGGTGCATCACCCGATCTGAAGATTCCTGCCCCATCAAAGACCATTCCCTTGGTTCACCAAGCATGAGCGCAACGTCCTCGGAGCTCATAGATGGGCTGATCGCTTTGAACTGAACGCGAGGCATGGCCATCCTGACTAGCGCAAACCGGGCCCCAAAGCTCGAGGCAAGAGTTTTTACTGCCGCTGATCTCAGGAAGAGCTGCTTGTGCCAAAGTGTCTGAACCGCTGCTGAAGATGTATATCACTTTGCGCCCACGCAATACAATGAAAAGTAACATAGCGTTACGATGGGGCCTCACGTTGAAATGCATCCAAACAAAATGCAATGAAGCGGCCAAACAACTATTAACTTGTCTATGACTCTGACCATGGAGTGGGGGGGTTGTCCACAGGAAGCGGCTGAGTGTCTTGTTTTTAGTTTTTTCAACATGTTGAATGTGTCTTGGCAAACCTCTTAGTTTCAGCGCTCTGAATTCCCTTTTTCTCACAGCGTGGCAGTCGTCCATTTTGGTATTGAATGACTGATTCCCGCGCGGTTACCTTTTGAACCGTTTGCGAAAGTAATCTTGATACTGCCCGCCGCGCTTTCTATTCCATCCCGTGTTCCTCTTTGCAAGTTGTCTCTTTGAAACAACTTGTTGCCAGGGATGCCATTGACTCCAGCATTTGGGCTCCGGCAGCTCTCGAGAGCCCGACGACATCGCAGATGGTTTCCAAGGCTTGCACCATTCGCAAGCCTCTTCGTCACCATGTTCTTCACTCCAGTCCCAGGGTTCTTCCCAAAGGTCGTCGTCGCCAACCCACTGATCCCAAGGCTCACATTCATTCTCCATGGGCCAGCCCATCGAAGATTCAGCCTAAAATCACACGCAGAGCAGACATCACATGTCATGTTAAAAATGCGCCGGTGTGTCCTTTAGACTTCTCTTGGTACATTGAAGAGGCCTTTGCACAGCCCTAGCGCACAAGAAAACCGTAGAGTGGAAACGCGTTAAACCTAAAACGGGTCCTTCTTATTCATAAAAAAGGAGGACCCTTTTCAGAGGACATGGCAGTTGACAAGGACTTGGCAAGAAACACCTGCTTCTGGTCGGTCTGGCTTGGCCGCCTCGACTGCAGTGGGTGAGCTTGCATTCGAAGCTGGAGATGGCTCCTTGCTCACAGGAAAAATTGCAAACATGGTGACCCCTTCGAAGTAAAATCCAAAACCGAGCCCCGAGTAAAATGGAAAGTTGAAAACAACAAATCTGTGCCTTGATGAAAACGGCTTGAGCCATTTTTCAGAGCCTGATTTTTTGAGGCTTTTTAAGATGTCAAAACAGGGTTCCCAGGACACCTTCTGTTGAACCCAAAGTGGAAGCCCATATCATCCTAAGCCTATTGCACACGATATTAATTATGTGTTGTTCTCCAGCTAGGGCAGTCAAAATCAAAACTGTTAAACACTCAGCCAGAACACACGCAGGGGCGGTTGCGCAGACTGTGGCTCTATCTCGGGTTCAGTTTCATTTGTGTCAGCGTCAGATAGCTCCACTACGCCAGCATCTCGGCCCGTGGCCGCACCAACACTTTCAGGCTGAGCGACGGCATCTGGAACAACACTCTCCTGGTCACCACACAGCTCACCGCATGGAACAGGTTGGCCACAACTATCGAGCTGTGGAGTGGAAGAAGAAGTTTCTTGGCCACCATCAGGCTGAGCAATTGAAGGAGCAGGCGCGCATGAGGGACCAGTTTCTGGGCAATCCCCTGGACAAAGAAGATCCTTGTGGCCGCTTTTTTGGTATCGACGCGCGTCGGTTTCCAGGGCGCGTCATCAAACGCATTCGAACGCGTTGTTGGCCCTAGGCCGTTAGTCGTCGACTAGGAGCGGTAAAAAGCCACTGAAGCGGCCTAAAGCCGCTGACTATAGCAAATAAGGGCCGCACTAAAGTGTGGCGGGGTGTGAATTTGCAGGCTACCGCTAGTTGCACAAGAGTAGAAAAACGAATCATGTCTCAGCTAAATGGAAAATTGGTAGCTCAAACCAAAAAGATTCCATGAGGCCACCGTTTTTCTGGCTTTGGGTCCGCGCGCGCGCGCCTCCGACAGCCGTTTTTAGAGCCCGGGGAGGCGCGCGCGCGCGCGCGCGGACCCAAACTTCCAAAACGGTGACCTTTAGCTCAAACACTCTTGACAGTCATGGGCGGGGAACATCAGCTGCAGCATGAACTGGTTCGGTGTGTTGTGGGCTGACACGCAGTTGATCTACGGTGTCCTGACAAGTTTGGTTTTCATGACTTGCGCAACCTGTCTGAGTGCTTGAAAAAATGCCAAATAACTGGCCTCCTCCGGCAGATCAGCATCCTCAGTCACCCAGGCGTGGTTCCACACTCACAATGAACATGTAACATGCCAGACAAACGGTCACGCACTCATCTCACCAAGCCTGCAGACGTGGATCTTGAAAGAGCAGCGGTGCTCGGCGGACTCTCGCCTGGCAAGGAAAGCAACAAAAGGATACCCGCTGCGCGCGTCCACATGACATGCCTTGACTTGACAATCTCTTCCCTGCAAGCCTTCAAAACAATCAGGCTGTTGTCGTTGACAGCCTCGGCTACAAAATGGAAGGAGACCCATTGAATCTTCTTTGTCATGCTTTGACTCCTGCAGGTTACAATTATATAATGAAGACCCTGCTAAACCAGCTTGCTTAAACTTAGATGAGAAACACGCCGTACGGGTTTGCTCTTTGCTTTGCAGCGTGCGCCGGGAACCATGGCGTCAGGCAGAATCATGACGTCAGGCCACAAACAGGACCAATGAATTGGAAAAGGGTTTGCCTTCGAAAGCCTTCTGACTGACATGCCAACTGTTACACTGAAATCCTGGCCTGGCCGCGTGAGAAAGACTTTAGATCAGAAGCTATGCCAAAAAGCAACTGCAGAAGAAACATGTGAACGCCCTGTACACTCTAGACTCTAGATTAGAGCGGCTTAAAGCCGCTGACATCCCCCAAATGCTCCACCTACCAAATATACTTTCCACCTACCATATATACTTGTCATTGCGGGTCTAACAATTTCTCGCAGCAAGCGGAGGAAAATGCATGGCGGCATAGCGGTCCTAAAGCATCATCTGCTACCACGTTCCTCCTTGAAGGCGTCCTCTGCAATCTTCAAGGATGCCTCCCATGACAAGCCACCAGAGCTCCACAAATTAGCGGCCACCCTGTACTTCTCGGCCAGTGTCCATCGCTTACGAAAATCCAAAAGATTCTGGACGGGCAATGGCTCGTGCGCTAACTCCATGACATTGGGCGCCTTGACAAACAAAGAAAAGCTGGTTTGGACCTGCACTGGAAGGATGCGAAAGCAAGATCAGACAAACTAACATGTGAACACCTTCATTTAAACCAAGAAGCTGCCCCGAAGTCCTGCCCCTGCGCTGGAAGAGCAGGCCGCCCTCCACCAACAGCTGGGCCGTGGAAAAAGAGGTTCCCAATGTTCAGGTGAGGTCCTTTCTGCCATGAACGGTTGGCAACCTTGTACAAATAGGCCGCTGCTTTGAACATGAGATACGGCGGCTCACCTGCACAAAGCACGCAGGAGTGACAAATCGCAAACAAGGTCCGGAGCACAGAAGAACTGCAAAAAGACGGCAATTGGTGTCAAAACTCCTTTGGTCAAGGCGCGCATTCTGTCAGCATACATCTTCAGTTTCTGCGCGTCAGCCGATTGGTCATCTGTTCTGAAGACTCTGTCTGGGCTCGCAACTCAGTAACGCAAATGTCACGAAATTGAAAAACACAATGCGAAGAAACACCGAACAGGCTCTCACAAAACCTCGTGACACGGTGACGCACACTCGCGCCAAGTGGCTGTCAGGAACCATTTGCATGACATCCCGTATCCTGCCATGTGGCAAAAATAAAATCTTCGGCTCGCGGAACCCCTCATCTGAGAGGTTGTGCTTCATCCTGAATCAAAAACCCGCGCAATGCGCGGCAAACTTCCACATCGCTTGTGACAACTTCCACACAGCACTTCACACTTACTCTCGCAACTTAACCTCCAACTTTACGTGATCTTGGGCCAAGAATCTTCAAAATCACATCGCCATCATCAGGTTGCAAAAATCCGCGCCGCCTCCAAAAGCGGCTGTTCACCTCCTCAACGGACAGAC